AAGTCAACACTTGATACTCAATACTTCCAAGAATCGAGTATTGAGTTGAGTCTCAATTTACTTGAAGTGCGACTCCATTCTCGATGCTCGATTCTTGCAAAATTCAACACACTGAAATATTCACAGTTGGCCTGTGTTTTATACATTAGAGAGAAAGTCTGCAAGAATACACACAATTTAAAACAAGACTTCGAAAACATTTATACAATGAGGAACATACAGCATAGCATGCAATCATTGTTTCTGAGGGACTAAATATGAAACTTAAGGAAGAAAAGATGAATATTAAAAGCCAAATGCAATGCTGCTGAAACGATACATTGATTCACCTGATTACTTCAGTTCCTTGTAGAAGGAGGTCACTCCAAAAAGCTTACTTTTTTGTCTTCACCTTTAGCAAGTAAACATTCAGCTTTTCCCTCACCAACGTTTTAGCCTCTGAAGTACCCACTATCCTAAAGAAATTTCTCTCTTGACAGCCAGGCTGTGTTTATGTGACGTCATTCCGTCCGACTCGAAATTGGAGGGAAGGAGAAAAACCTGCAACTGACTTGGCATCAGCAAAATCTATTTTTTTTCAAATGATTATGTTTGGCCCAAACTAATATAGCTCAAGAGCAGCCACAACCAAGAGAGGTAGTTAAAAGGCTTGTCGGAAGCCATTTTGACAAAATCTAGGACGGAATGATGTCATAAAAACATGGCCTGGCTGCTCAGTACTATTCAAAATGGCGGCAACAGTGTTCAAATTTTGGGTTTCTTTGGAAAAAAATTTCATAAGAAAAACCTGCACTTTAGAGGCTGAAACTTCAGTGAGTGGCTAAAACTTAGCGCAAGGTTTTTATTAGTGTTCACAAAAAATATACGCTTTTTGGAGTGACCTTCTCCTTTAAGGTAGCATTATTCCACTTATTACTTGCTGGTGTGAATGTAGAGTATTCGGTGTCCTTTAAATCTCCCAGGATTGTTTTTCATCTCATGAAGCATCCCTCTAATTGCTTTAATGTTGTACACAGGGTCCACCATTATTCCTGTAGTACTGGAGATCTCTAGAATGATCTCTGCACATCATAATTGATTGGATTCACTAATTAGTGGCTGAGAGAATGCAGAATGACTGAAAGAGTTTCACGATTGACCTTTTGCATGCAGAAACATACAGTAACATACAGAATCCCCTTGCAGGATGGCAACAGAATGCAACACCTCCAAAACAGTGACCTCAACCGGTGACAAGCGCGACTGTCCTTTGTTTGGGATGTCTCAGTGAATATCTCACCATCCTGCAGTATGGTGGATTTTCTACCATTTGGCCATAATTAATTTGTTGTAATTTATGAATGTACA